GTCTCTGGTCTCTGTGTCGATATGAATGGTCCTCGCTGACCTAACATGCACTCCTCGTGTACCAACATTCTCAACACATAGGAGGAAAGTGCAACCATCAAGGACTTGACTGAGATTATTTCACTATGAGTCCCTCTCTTGCCATCGAGAAAGCTCAAGCGCACTCAATGGTAGGTGAATTGCCAAGAACAAATTGGTTGGGCAATAAAATATATTTGTCATAATACTTTTTGGTGCATGTAATATTGTTCTGCGTGCAGAGCGCATGCTGCCAGCTTAGTGATGCGAAGCTAGCAGTGTGTGTTTTAAGCTGGTGCCCCGATCTGGCCCCTGTTGCTGTATACAAGGTGAAGTTGGCCAGCTGTCTGCTGGCTAACTGGCTGTGGTCTGTGCGTTCTGCAAGGGTTATTGGTAGGCTAGGAGTCTAGTCTAGCTAATAACTTAATGCTCAGTTCTAAAACTGCAACATGTGTTGCGACCCGATTGACGACCGGGCTGGCGGAAGGCTGGATTCACATCAGACTTTCTAGTCGAGATATTCACGACTGAAGAAATGAGTGGCGTTGACGATGCCGCACGGACCGCAAGATCTGCGGAGAACACCCCGCTACCGGAAGCCGACGGGGATTCCCGTCCAAGCAGCGGGCGGTCGCGCTCTGACCAGAGCGATGGCCAAGAAGACGACGACAGCGAAGAACGCAGCGATATGTTTCACTGCCGTCAAGACGTCCGAGGTAGGGTAAGGGCTGGGGCAAGACTGCCGCGAGTGTTTCACTCGCCGCCACCTCGGCGAGCGCAGCTCGTTGTTGCACACTTTGGAACCCGTATGCTCAACCAACTGGCCCCAAGCACTCCCGATGTCGAAGACTTCGGATGAAAGCGGATTACGAGGCTGCTTGTGTTTTTAATCCACCTGCGTTGCCGACACCGCCGTCGTTCTGCGGTGATACCCGCGCGGAGAAGAGTCAGTATATGCGAGAGTACGAGAAGTATCGTGGTCAACCTGAAGCGCTGCAGGCCGCTGGCCAGCCACCGTTTCAAATGCCGGTGTCAGCATGTATTGAACCTGACGAGAAGCGCCGCATTGCGTACTGGGAAATGGACGGCAGGGACCGCAACACTCTGACGGACGTCGAATGACAATCATGATTCATGATGGCTTACCAACAGCCACCTCCACTCGAGGTTGATGACCTCGTGGAGAAGATCAAGTCGAAGATGGTGTGCGACATGGCCATCTCTGAGGGCGACTCGCGCGTTGGCCGCATGGTTGCCGCATCATCTCGTTTCGGGGACGAGATCGGCCAGAACTGGATTTTCGACGTCGAACCGAAGCTGATCATCGAGGCTATTATTAGCCAGTTACAACCGCCTAGGTTGAAAGCCAGGTGCAGAAGAAGATGAAGCATTCTCAAAACAAGCCGTTGAAGAACAATGTTCGTCGGATTACATCGTGGCTTCAACAATATGCTGCCGGTTACCAGGAGTACCACGACGAAGCTCGTGAAATACTAGAGCTGAAGGCGGCGAAGGCAGCCGCGGCGACGCCGCAGAAGACCAAGTCAACGAGCCAGAGCAGCGGCGCTGCTGCTGTCAAGAGCATCGACAAATACCAAGGAACACCGCGCTTCAAGCAGTCAAGTGCCTGAAGTGTGGCTCGACCGAGCAACCCAGCATCACGGTTGAAGAAAAAAATGCATTGCGGATTTGTATGGAAAATACCGCCAGAAGAGTGTCAAGACGCTGGTGTCGGAAGACCCCAAGCGCTCCATTGCGTATAGCGCAATGTTGGACGGCGTGATGTTTTTATCGAGTGTGCTCCTAGAATCGGGAGCAGATGGCTTGCTCGTCACAACAGACGTGGTAACTGCGCTCCAGAAACTAGGAGCCGCGGTCGACATTGTGGAAGTGAAGCCCATGACCATGAAGCCGTATGGTCAGTCGTCGGAGCCGTTGCGCGTGACGAAACAAGCTCGCTTCAAGACGATGCAGTTCGAAACGTCGTTTGGCCCGCTTGTGTTGCGTGGACTCAAGGCATGGGTCGATGAGACGTCGCAGGATTGTGACCTGCTCATCGGCAAACCAGTCATGGAAGTCCTTGGCTTTAGCCAGGACGGAATGCTGGTCGAAGCCCTTCGGAAAAAGGCAGTTTGAAATCTTGACGATGTCGAGGTGTCTACAACTCACTGGTCCGAATCAGTCGGCTTAGATGTGCCGGTGGAAGCCGACGAAGGCACGGTCGACGTTGACCTGTGCACGAAGCCCTAAGTGAAGCGAAGGCCAGAAGCCGCCGAGGTTGAGCGAACGCGAGAGAGCGTGGTCTCTAGGAGCACCATTGTTCCACCCGCTACGGCAACCTTTTAACGTACTTCGATGTATTCCGGCTCGAGTTTGGACAAGACTCGTCGGTGGATTTCGAGCCGCTAAAAAGGCACAGTGCCTGTGAAGTGTGCGTTGCGACGATACCCGCCTGCCCACATGGACTACCTGAAGGAGCATGTGGCGGAGCTCGAGGCGGCAGGCCTCGTCTACCGCAACAATCGTACGACTTGGGTCGCGGCGCCACGAATCGTGCCGAAGAAGCCGGGCGAGTATCGTATGCTTTTGACAGTCGCTCGATCAACGCCTGCACGATTCCTACGCCGTGGCCGATGCCGAAATTGGACGCAGCCATGGCGGTGCTTGTTGGGTCCATTGTGTTTTTCACATTGGACTGGCTAAAGGGGCACTGGCCATTGCACCCCGACAGCCAAGTGCTGTTCTCGTTTATGATGACCTTGGCATCTTCCCGCCCACGCGTATCCTGATGGGACAGACCGACGCGGTGGCGTATTGCTAGAGCGTCGGTGAGCTTATTTTCAACGGCGTGTTGGGCTGGCTTGACGATCTTCTTGACTATGCAGATTCCGCCGACATATTGCTGGCGTTGCTCGAGCGCGTGCTCGTCATTTGCGCCAAGTTTCGTTTCAAACACCACCCAAAAAAGTGCGATTTTTATTTGGTGGAAGCCACGTGGCAAAGTCATTTCTGCCAAGGGCATCGCGCACGACCCAAGCCGCATCCAAGGACTCGTGGCGCTGGAAGCGCCAGCGACGGCCGCAAATCTCCAGCAATTCGTCTGTGAGACAAATGGATGCGTTCGTCAATTCCAAACTATGCGCAGTTGGTGCAGCCGTTGCGCACCCTGCTCGATATCGCAGTCAAGGCAGCTGATGGTTCGAGCAAGAAGTCGGCATTGGCCAAGATTTGTTCGGTAAACGTCGGCTGGTCTGACGACTACGACGTGTCTTTCTGCTGTAAAGAATATATTTGCGTGCAATCGTGCTGCTGGCCCATCCATCGCCAGACAAGGTTTTTTGACTTTTTACGGACCCTAGCGACAAGCACTGGGGTGCAGCGTGCACCCAAATTCCCGCTGAAGTCCTGGGGCTGCCGGTGGCAGACCAGCGCCACGAGCCTCTGGCGTTTCTCAGTGGAAGTGACGACGTCGACACGTTCGTTCGGCGTTGTTTGCATTGCTTGTGTGTGGATGGGCAGTGGTGCCACGCCACTGCGTCCAAACGAGTTGTTACACTTCGACTGGCTGCAGTTGCTAGAGAGCGACACGGGTTTGAAGCATGTTCTCATCCTGAAGGATGACAGGAGTGGATTTTACCGTCTGGTTCCATCAGTCACAGCTGACGCGGAACACACGGCCGACGAACATATGGACTTGTATTTTGTTGTGTACTGTTTGGAATTTGCAGGACGGCAATCCTGCAGATATTGATTGGACAAAAGTCTCAAGTATTCTTGCGAATGGAAGCTCATTCTAAAATGTTTCCTGTGCCGCCGAATGATGAATGCCAAGCGCGACGGAGCACTGACTCAAGACCACAACGCGTGGATGTCGCGTGGACCAAATCGTAAGTTCAACACGTATGATCGATATATGAGCTTAACTGTGAATGTCCCTGGCAGAGCGAAGGGTTCGAACAAGCGAGATCACGTGCAACTGCGTGATCCGACGAGGACGCTTGCTGGGAACAAGGCTGCACACGCGACGTAAGTACACTGCAATAGCTTCGAAGGACCGTAATACTTGCTCCTCCGTAGGGCTCTCAGGCAAGGGCTCACCAGCATCCAGGGAAGCGCGCTCAAAACGGCACATGGCGAACTTCCATTCCGAGAGCAGTTTGCGCTGCTTTCGGGTGGCCAGGTCAAGAGGTACGATGAACTTATATGGAGGATGGCCGAGTCTCATGTTTCCAAGCTGCCACAGTCTCCATGCCGTGGCAGCATCAGCGGCAGGAAACTCAAAATTCTGCGGCAGTTGGGACAACCTGCCACCCCACGTGTACAATCGTCGCGTTGCTGACGGCTCTGGTACGTCGATGGGAGGACTGGTTGGTCGATTCAAACGTTGGGCGAAATCGTTTAGGGCTGCCTCCAAAAACTGTCGTGTAATGTGACCGGACACCGTTCCATGCTGCGTCAATACGTCTTCAATCTGCTCACGCATTTGACCAGGCAAACTGGCAATGGCGGAGTGATTCCGCTCGATAATTTTGAACAAATTCACGTGAGGTGGGATACCTGTTGGCGTATATCGCTCGGAGTTGATGGTCACGTGGGCTCTTAAATGGGATAGCAATGTTGGATTGGAGAACAGAGCTGACGATACCAGGGCATGTCGTGTTGGCAATTCATTCACCAGCCAATCCGAGTGATAAACAAGGGACGCGAGGACAAGGGACAATATTGGCCTGAGGTGGGGAAGATTTGCTAGACGGGGAAACACAATGTCGACAGTGCGTTGAACGTCGTCCTCGACGTCATGAGGAAAATGGGGAGGCAGAGCCGCAAATTCGGGCTTGCTGTTCGGTAAACCAGCAACAATTCGACCAAGATACTGGTCACCGGCTCGCTCGTAGTGAATATACCGTTCCAAGACGTGCCCAAGGGTCCACCCGCATCGCAAACAGACACTCGCCATGGAGGGGCCACAAGTACTTCCAGAACACGCAAAGGTGGCCACACCTTTTCGAATCGAGTGGGTGCCAATCGTTCCCGCTTCCGTATGGAAGCTCGAACACACCAGCCGAGCGAGGGCCTTTCCAAATCTGTCGCGTTGCTTGCTGCCAGGGAACACGTTGCCAGCGTCCAGCTGAGGATGACATGCGATATAGACGCCAAATGCCAAAAACACACACGTCGACGGCGAAAATGGGTTTGCGTAAATGTGCCGAGGGTCACGTCGTCTATCACCGGCCTGATCGGTCTTGCTTTTGTGGAAAACAACTCCAATGGCGTCTTCCTCGAAAGTGATGTGATCAAACTGAACGGTTTGCGTCGACATTGACCGGCACATCAAATTCCACGATAATGTCAGAAATAAATGCACAAAACCACCGTCCATCATCTGGAGACTCTCCAAGCACAGCGTCTCGTACATGGAGTAGCCCATGGGTCGTTTCCCCGAGTCCTTGATGGTCCCGCTCTGCGTTTGTTCAGCATGATGGCGCCGCATTCCTGCCAAACTCTAGTGAATTGCCGTCATATCAATTCAAATTTCTACTACCTTGGAACAAGTCCTTCATATCTACGTCGTATTGAGGAGGGACGGGAATGCTTTGTTGCTTGTAGAGATCTCTGATAGCCGAACGGTAGCTTGCAAGTGTACTTGGCTTGTTCGACGTGTTTCGATACATCCACTCGATAAACGTCAAAAACTGTTCGTACTGAAATACGTGCAGATCAATGTTGCCATCGGCCAGTAACATGGACGCGTCGCCGTGGCTCAAGATCCACTTCTTGATCTGGTTGAGGCCGCTCCTGTACCCAGCCTTGGTGGACTTGGACACGCGCATGTCCCGAATGTCCTCCAGGGTCGAAGATTGGCGCACAGTGTTGGACATTTTTCACAAAGATTTGTGACATTATCGCCCAATCTTACGCGACCTTTTGCTGGAGGATGGATCGTCCTACAAATTCGATTCCTTCAGAGCCAACCACTTCAATACTGTCGTTTGTAAGGGTAGAATATTCGACAAATCGACTTTGCAGGACATGCGTCCTGCAGGATCCTGTGTTTCCGGATATTGGTCATGCAAAAACCGGATTATGTATGGAAACGTCGCCACATGGGTTTCCAACGCAGGATCTCATTTCAAAAATGAAGTTGTGTCGAAGGTGAAGAAATTTCTTGGTGCCCACCACCACATTACGACCCGCATTCGCCGTGGGCGAACGGGTCTGTTGAAGTTGTCAATCGCATGATTTTGCGCGCGATGCGCACATTGTCGAGTGAGATAAAGTTGCGTGTGACCGAGTGGCCTCGTTTATTGCCGCTGGTGCAAGCTGCGCTGAATCATCAGCCAGCAGTCAACTCGGTGGTGTTGCCCCTGTCACCGCATTTACTGCTTTGCCAGCGATGTTGCCGCTAGCTGGATTTGTCCATTCAAGAACGAAGGATGTTAGCAACACAACATGACTTCGGATGTACGAGGGAAAAGCAAGAGTGAATTAGGTAACGTTTAGTCTATCGACCGAGATGGTATAGGTTGCGTCTTCTCGAGGACGACTGGACGCAGTCGTCCGCACCCTGCGGCTCGCTTCTATATAGCAGAGCCGCTTTGATTGCGGTATAGCGTATTCTAACACTTCCCTCAAGCAGAAGCTGCTTGAATTCCATGAACCGGGTTCCAATGAGCGGATGTAGTCACGGACGCGGTGCAGGCGGACATCACAGTGCTTTGTGCCATCATAATGCACTGGATTCTTGGCAAGTTGGATCGCTCCCATGTTGCGCTGCAATGAAGTTGACGAAGCAGTTGTCGCAAGTATAGCGCTTCAGACACGGCTGTATTGAGTGCAATGTACTCGGCCTCAACTGAGGAGGCTGCCACCAGAGTTTGCTTCACGCTGCGCCACGAAATTGGACGATCGCCGAGGAGGAACACGTATCCAGGTTGACTTTTGCGATCGGTAGTATCCGATGCCCAGTCTGCATCCACGTAACCAACCAAAGCCGAGGCCTTGTCGCCACCAAGGCACAAAGTGTGGTCGCGCGTTTCCTTGAGATAGCTAAGAATGCCCACAACGGCATCGAACAGGCGTTGTATGGGGGGCAGCCAATAGCATGACATCATCGAAATGGCAAAGCTGATGTCTGGGCGGTTCCACTGCTGCATATAGAGTAGGGCACCAACCACTTCACGATACGGCAGCTTCGTTGGGATCACGTCTTGATCATTGACTTCAGGTCGCTGTTTCATGGACACGAGCAGGCCATGCCCTTGTACATCAAACCGATTAAGGAGTCGGTCCACAAACGTAGACTGGCTCAGGTACAGGAGCTTTTGGTCGCGGTGGCGGGACACAATGGTCCGAGGCAAAATTCCAAATCGCCCAACTTCTTCATGGTTAACTTCGAGTCCATGAACGCTTCAAACTTGAGGACCAGAGCAGTGTCGCGGGCACACAGAATGAGGTCATCCACAAAGACCACAATGTACGCTTCACCATCACCAAACACATACACGCAGGGATCCGAAACAGTTGGCTCAAACCCTAACAACTTCAGTGTCTTGTCGAGCAGGGAGTTGCAGCAACTCGGCAATTGATGTAGCCTGTACAGGCTCTTCTTCAACTTGAGCATTGGGGTCTTGCTGGTGCACCCTTCAGGCTTTCAGATGAAGATGTCAGTTTCAATGTCAGCATTGAGAAACGCACGGTCGACGTCGTATTGCTTGATCTCGTAGTTCTGCGATACCGCAAGTGTCAACAAACACCGCACGCACAGCCACAATTCGCGCAACTGGGGAGTACGTGTCACTGAAGTCGACACCGGCCACTTGCATATATCCTCGAATCACCAAACGAGCCTTGTACTTTGCTATGTTGCCGTCCTTGTCAGTCTTCTTCATGAACACCCAAGTGATGACGAGCGGTCACTTGGGCTTCTCCTTGGTTTCCATCCTGGTACCATGTTTGCGCAGCGAATCCAATTCTTGTTGTATCGCTTTCCTCCATGTGGCGGCGTCAAGGCTTGCCATTGCATCGGAGTACGATCGTGGGGTGTCATCGACGCTGAAGCACACATCGACCACGGCTAGACTGAAGTCTTGCATATATTGTTGAGACAGAACCACACGACGATTGCTCCGGCGTAACACTTGAAGTTCGTCGGAAACGGTGTCACTATCTGGTGACCGTTTTGACCACGTCGCGCACGTCTCGCGCTGGCACATCAGGGTCGCCATCATGACCCGCATCGTCAAACTCATCAGGCTCCTCAAATTCGTGGTCGTGGGGGCCGTACGGCACGTCTGCATATGGGTTGGGAGGCTCTCCAGCGTCGTCGGCATGTGCGTCCTGTGGGTCCACATCGGTTTGAGCTTCATCGGTGGGCTCTTCCACGATGGATGGCGATGGCGGTGCAACGGAAAGCGACATCGATTTGGACAAGCCGCCCGAGCCTGACGACGCAGCTTCTTCAACTGCCGGCTCAGGAGTCGAGGTGTTTCCAGACTACCCCTCGGAGGTAGCAGTATGCCCAGCAGGCGCTGTATCCGCCCCAGAGAACTGAGAAACGTCAGGTGCCGAGGCACTAGAGGGTGCGGTCACAAAAATGCCGTCCAAGAACTTATCGTCGGCCGCATGGGTGGGCGCGGCGGCAGAATCGTCGACAAACACACAGTGACGACAACACGACGAGGACCCTGCAATCAAGGGAATCAAACCCGAGAAGGATGCACTTGGACCCGCGGTCATCGAGCTTGCGGTTTGCAGCGTTGAGCGCGAAGCAAACTTGACCAATGCGGCGAATGTATGCCATGTTCGGAGGACGCCCAGAGAATGCTTTGATGGGCGTTTTGTTGCCGAGAAGCGTAGCAGGTAGACGATTGCGAAGATACGCAGCACACTTGAGGGCATCCAACCAGCAGCCTTTGCTGAGGCCGGTATCTTTGAGCATGACCCGGACCACCGAACCAAGAATACCACCGGTACGTTCAGCGATACCATTGAGCTGGTGGGTTTCACGAGGCGTGACATGCAATTCCACGCCATTCTTTTCAAGGAACGCCTTGAGCTGGCCAGCAAACTCGTCACCACCATCACGCTTGACGTGCTTGATGCTCTTAGACCGCTGTGTCTTGTAGTACACAAAGAAGCTTTCAAACGCGGAAAGTGCGTCACTTTTGATACGTAGCTCAGACGGAGGTCGTGCGTGACCAAAAAAGGACACAGGTAAATCCATCGCGGGATGGCACACTACAGAAGATGAGGTCCACGCTGACCACATCAGGGAGGCCACTTTGGACCTTGTCAAAGAATGGCTGGCGCTTTGGGTTCGTCGCCATGCAAACTTCACAGGTGGAGAGCTATTGACCCTTCGAATCGGGCATCGCAAATCCAGAGGTACTGAGCTGGTGCAATTTCGCAACTGAGGCATGACCCATCCGACGGTGACAAATATCGATGTCCAAGACAGCACACACGCGATCGGGCTCAACGAGCTCACCAACAATTTCATAGAGCTGCCCAGTGCGCTCGAAGTGCAACACCTCTTTGGTTGCCATTCATGATATTGACACAGGTGGTGCCCACAGTCTTGAACTCGTAGCCACGTTGTGTAAACATCCCCAACGAGAGGAGTGACACACCAGATTGGGGGAAGTACAGAACATCGCTAATAGTACGCAACCCGAACTTGGTAGTGACAATCAAATTCCCCTTGGAGTTGGTGACGGTTTCGAATTGGTGGCACCAAAGCCTTGAACGATGCGCGAGGCCTTAAGCTTCTCGACATCATGTAATAGGTGACGATACTGGGGGCCACAAACATGCACGCTATACCCGCTGTCACCATACCACCCAGAAAGCCCAGAGAGCGGTTTTGCTTCCTCGCGAACCGCTAATGCAAAATGAGACTTGTCTTGATGAGCCTTGTCTTCGATTTGCGCTTCCTCAACCGACTTTTTGTCTTTCGATTATTGATTCTTCTTGCCTTTAGGCTTTGGCTAGCCATCTTGCTTGAAACCTTCAAGCGATGGACACTCAGACGACCGGTGACCGAAGCCTTGGCAATTGAAACAACGCACACTAGTAGCGGCAAGTACCGCGTCTCTGACGTGTGCGCTTTCACGTTGACGCCGGAGCTGGTTCATCTCTGTCAACCGGCGCTCTTCGAATTCAATGAGCAGCTTGAGGTTCTTGTCGTCGCGCTCACTGAATTGTTCGGTGATCTCGTTGAAGAGAGACATTGCAGTGAACTTGGCATCGTGGTTGAGAACGACACACCACGCCAAATCTTCAGGCGAAATTTTGCCACCCTTTTGACGGGCCGTTTCCACCAGGCGGCTAACATTAGCCAAGTATTCAGCTACTGGCTTATCTTTTGCCATATAGCAGTTGTATACGTCACGCATTGCCAAGTGCCTTGCGTAGCGAGTAGAACGTCCAATGCGAGCGCGGAGATGCTCCCAGAGCATTTGTGCGGACTTCACATGTTTTCCGACACAGTCGCGGATGCTCGGCGTTATGCGCTCGCGTACGCACTTCATGTCGTCCTTGCGCCACTGCTTCCATTCGGCGCTTGATCTGTTCATCACGAACTTGACACCGCCGGCACTACCCCGTTCAGTAGGCTCTTCAGTTGTCCCATCGAGGTGGCCCTCAAGGCCTTGCCGGAGAGATAGATCTCAGCCTCACGTTCCCATGACAATTAGTTCCCCGAGCCCGTCCGTATCACGGCGAGCGGACCCTTGCTTGTACCCGTGTTTGGGTTCATACACGACATGACTTCGGAGGCACGAGGGAAAGACAAGAGTGAATTAGATGAAGTTTAGTCTATCGACCGAGATGGTATAAAGTGTCTTCTCGAGGACGACTGGACACAGTTTCCCGCACCCTGCGGCTCGCTTCTATATAGCAGAACCGCTTCGCTTGCGGGATATCATATTCTAACAGTCAAAACCATCGATTGGGCCAACAAAGAGAGGAAGAAATACGTGAGTCGCACGATGAAATGCATCGTGTATTGTCGAAGATTAGCAAGAAGAAACGACAGTATGCTTGAACGGACCGTGGCCGTAAAGCAAATGTCGAGCCAGCGAAATTCGCCGAAGTCGATTTCGTCCTGGTTGGCAAGGTTGTGCAGTTCCCCAACAAGTTGGCACTAAACTGGCGTGGCCCATTTCATTTGACCAAGGTGTTGTCTGACTATGTCATGACTGTGCAGTAGCTGGTACCTCCGTCTGCAGAGCCGACACACCATGCCTGCCGTCTCAAGTTCTACAGTGTAGTTGGTTTGGATATCACCCAAGATTTGGTTGACCATATCGCCTTTGGCGTTTAAGGATTTTATGTTGAAGACCTCCTCGGTGCTTCCAAGACCGAGGAAGGTACGTTTGAAGTGCAAGTCAAGTGGCTTGGCCTCGAAGAAGCTGAAGCGTCGTGGGAGTCTGCGTTCAGGCTGTCTGAAGACATTCGCGTGATTATGCGCCGCTGGCTCAAGACCCAAGGAAGACGCGACAAACTCGTCGCTTAATTAGCCCAAAGATTGGAAACTCACCTGGGGAGCTCCCCTTAGAAAAGGGGGGTGTTCTGCGTGCAGAGCGCATGCTGCCAGCTTAGTGATGCGAAGCTAGCAGTGTGTGTTTTAAGCTGGTGCCCCGATCTGGGCCCTGCTGCTGTATACAAGGTGAAGTTGGCCAGCTGTCTGCTGGCTAACTGGCTGTGGTCTGTGCGTTCTGCAAGGGTTATTGGTAGGCTAGGAGTCTAGTCTAGCTAATAACTTAATGCTCAGTTCTAAAATTGCAACATGTGTTGTGACCCGATTGACGATCGGGCTGGCGGAAGGCTGGATTCACTCAGATACATATTGGGTTCAATACAAACTTCAACATATTTTGCACCTCCTACTTCAATCAAGATAAATCATGTGGCTCTTTTTGTGGACCAGAGTAGTGATGGCGACGTCATTGGGATCCTTTCAAACCTACTTAATTGCATTAGAACTGTAGTTTTGGATTAGAATACATTTACATGAGGACCCACACCAGTACATTGAAACGGAGGACGTTTTCATGACTTTCGAGCGAAATCCAATTTTGTACTTCGAAGTATCTGGATTTTAGTTTGAAACCCAATGTGGTCATTCGATTTTGGAGTTGGAAGTGCTGGCCTGTCGGACAAAAAACCATCAACTTGGATCTCGATGGTCCACGCCTCATTCAGTATTTTTTCGAGAGCAGCCGCATTTCATTCTCGAAAGAGGAAAGTTTCGTCGGTATTTTTTTACATTTTTTGCTTGACTGGCCGATATTTCCTGCTCGACACACTCGAAAAAAACGACCTTTTCACTCCACAAGTTGACACTTGCGTGGATTGTCATCGGTTCTTCGACCATTCTTAGGTGGGTGTCATCGGTTCTTCGACCATTCTTCTACTCGTGCAACACGTTCGAGGGTTCGCGTCGGTTCAAGTTGCACGACTTGAACATGGTCCGCCACCGAGCATGGGAAGAGTTGTGCGTGGCAGAGTCGGAGAATTTGGCAATGCGAGAGACCATCTCGAATTTGCAGACGGAACTGGCGCAACTCCGCGTGTGGAAGGCGCAGGCGTTGGAGTTCATGACGGCATGGGGCCCCAAGCGTTTGAAGCTGCAAAAGGAAAAGGACGAGGCATGCAAACTCAAGAAAAAGCTGCTCGACATGGAGCAGCAAGTCCTCGAGCGCGTCGCGTTGTCCGAGATGTTGGCTGAGCTAAAAGTACAAGATGCGCAAATGGTCGACAAACTCGCCAAGACCCAGCGAGAGAAGGACCAGTGGAAAGCCAAGGTGGCCACCGAATGCGCATCCCACCTGCAAACCCGTCGCCAACTCCATTTCATGGAAGACATGTTTGAAAAGCTTGTCGACCAGTTGCTCGTGTTGCGCCAGCGATACGACACCACCCAGACCTACACTGCGCGGCACCAAGCACCGACCGAACCCATCAAACCAAACGACGGCGAGTCGCCCACAGCGTTTCACGAACGCACGCTGGTATGAACACGCTCCTGCCAGAGTCCTTCACTAGTCTTCGATAATGATGTGTAGCTTTCCGGGATGTATTGCTTGGGGGACGCATGTAAGAAGCTGAAGCGTCGTGGGAGTCTGCGTTCAGGCTGTCTGAAGACATTCGCGTGATTATGCGCCGCTGGCTCAAGACCCAAGGAAGACGCGACAAACTCGTCGCTTAATTAGCCCAAAGATTGGAAACTCACCTGGGGAGCTCCCCTTAGAAAAGGGGGGTGTTCTGCGTGCAGAGCGCATGCTGCCAGCTTAGTGATGCGAAGCTAGCAGTGTGTGTTTTAAGCTGGTGCCCCGATCTGGGCCCTGCTGCTGTATACAAGGTGAAGTTGGCCAGCTGTCTGCTGGCTAACTGGCTGTGGTCTGTGCGTTCTGCAAGGGTTATTGGTAGGCTAGGAGTCTAGTCTAGCTAATAACTTAATGCTCAGTTCTAAAATTGCAACATGTGTTGTGACCCGATTGACGATCGGGCTGGCGGAAGGCTGGATTCACTCAGATACATATTGGGTTCAATACAAACTTCAACATATTTTGCACCTCCTACTTCAATCAAGATAAATCATGTGGCTCTTTTTGTGGACCAGAGTAGTGATGGCGACGTCATTGGGATCCTTTCAAACCTACTTAATTGCATTAGAACTGTAGTTTTGGATTAGAATACATTTACATGAGGACCCACACCAGTACATTGAAACGGAGGACGTTTTCATGACTTTCGAGCGAAATCCAATTTTGTACTTCGAAGTATCTGGATTTTAGTTTGAAACCCAATGTGGTCATTCGATTTTGGAGTTGGAAGTGCTGGCCTGTCGGACAAAAAACCATCAACTTGGATCTCGATGGTCCACGCCTCATTCAGTATTTTTTCGAGAGCAGCCGCATTTCATTCTCGAAAGAGGAAAGTTTCGTCGGTATTTTTTTACATTTTTTGCTTGACTGGCCGATATTTCCTGCTCGACACACTCGAAAAAAACGACCTTTTCACTCCACAAGTTGACACTTGCGTGGATTGTCATCGGTTCTTCGACCATTCGTACGTGGGAGTCATCGGTTCTTCGACCATTCTTAGGTGGGTGTCATCGGTTCTTCGACCATTCTTCCACTCGTGTAACACGTTCGAGGGTTCGCGTCGGTTCAAGTTGCACGACTTGAACATGGTCCGCCACCGAGCATGGGAAGAGTTGTGCGTGGCAGAGTCGGAGAATTTGGCAATGCGAGAGACCATCTCGAATTTGCAGACGGAACTGGCGCAACTCCGCGTGTGGAAGGCGCAGGCGTTGGAGTTCATGACGGCATGGGGCCCCAAGCGTTTGAAGCTGCAAAAGGAAAAGGACGAGGCATGCAAACTCAAGAAAAAGCTGCTCGACATGGAGCAGCAAGTCCTCGAGCGCGTCGCGTTGTCCGAGATGTTGGCTGAGCTAAAAGTACAAGATGCGCAAATGGTCGACAAACTCGCCAAGACCCAGCGAGAGAAGGACCAGTGGAAAGCCAAGGTGGCCACCGAATGCGCATCCCACCTGCAAACCCGTCGCCAACTCCATTTCATGGAAGACATGTTTGAAAAGCTTGTCGACCAGTTGCTCGTGTTGCGCCAGCGATACGACACCACCCAGACCTACACTGCGCGGCACCAAGCACCGACCGAACCCATCAAACCAAACGACGGCGAGTCGCCCACAGCGTTTCACGAACGCACGCTGGTATGAACACGCTCCTGCCAGAGTCCTTCACTAGTCTTCGATAATGATGTGTAGCTTTCCGGGATGTATTGCTTGGGGGACGCATGTGTCAAGTGGATCGACCAGCGTCTAGGTTCCGATGCGGCGGAGCTGGCGACTCGGGGGCACCTCGAAACCAACTGGACGAGCGAAAAATCGCGGCTTGAACACGAACTGGCGAGACTGACCCAGCAAGTGCACGATGCGGAAGCGACGCGGGTCAAGCAAGAGCACGACCTTCGACGGTTGCAGGGAGAAGGCGCCCGATACGAGCAAGTCGTGATGACAGCGCGGCAGGACGTGATCAAATGCACACAACACACGATGGAAGGCAAAGCAATCATGAAGCGCCTCGTGCGAGACGTCCGGCAGTATCTGCATGCGACGCAAATGGAGGTCAAAAAGAAGTTTGGGTACGTCCCGGACTCGATCGCGCATCACGTTGTGTGGGAATGCATTTCCACTTCCATGAAAGAGCTTGACCAGTTCCTGTTGGAGGGTGTCCATTAAAATCCGTGGTACGAATTCAGCGCTGGGCGTGTGACTTTAGGCTTGCATTTTCTCGCTTCGTCGATGGCTTCTTGGCGCCGAGCCGCTTGGGCGGCCTGTTTGCGCTTGACGCAGTCGACCAGTGTCATGGCTTTGTGTCGTCGAAATTTGGTCTGGACGATCAGCGCGGCTTTTTCACGCATCGCTTTTTGCTTTATAAGCGCCAACTCTCGATCTGCCCGTGTTGGAACGCGTGTCGTCTTGTCGGCGGGGGCAAGAGGCGTCCGCACACTGCTGGGACCGACAGGATTCTACTCGCCATGGTGAATGAATTGCACGCTCTCAACTCTAAACCAGCACGACCTGCGTTGGGTTGGGAGGTCGCTCGGTCGCCGCCTTCGGAGTTGGGCGCAAGTGCCACGAGTCACGAAGCAGCCGTTCAAATTGGTCGTCGCCGTCGATGGATGCGCTGATGCTCTACATCACGAAGCAACAATTGACGGGACGACACGTGGAGAGGGTGCTCCACCTCGTAATACGCTTCAAAATCTCTCCATGCAACATGCCCGTTGTGGGCGATGGCGTCCCACGACGACAAAAAGTCGACCAACGCCTGCCGCTCGGATACCTTTCCTTGAACAACATGTCGTTGGCGGGCCGCATCGTAGTGCGTTTTCAAGTCAGTAAGCGTCACATGGCCGCTGCATTTGGCCTCTAAACTCGCATAAACGTCGCGAACAAGCGCCTGGCGAGACGGGCTCAGTTGACCCCGCAATGCCTTCAAGAGGTCGTCGACCCGAATGAATCCGTTCTGTGAAGTGTCCAAAAGCGTCATGATATGGTCCACTTCTTGCAAATTCATCTCGACTCCAGCGTCGTCGAGGCCGTTCTTGAGCTCTTCTTTGCTCAACACCCCGTCGCCACTCGAGTCCCATTCCCGCAGAGCTCTGTGCAGCACGTAAAATCGTCCATTCGACTCGTGCAATAATGCACAGTACCTTTGAATACCGACGAGTCCGCCGGTCGTGTCATGCTTGGAGAAGAGTTTGTACTTCAGTTTGTCCAAGATCGTCTTGGGCGGTTCGCGGCGTTTTCCAAATCGATCCGCTAGTGTTTGGTGGAGCGCTGAAATATGAATCAACTGAGAGCCTTCTCCAGCAGCAACGTGAGTCGCTTCGTCACGTCCGGCCAGACGTACCCGCTGTGTCAAACGACTTGGCAATGACGTGAGCCTGTCGTGGCGCCAGCGCCTTGTCCAACTGGATCAGCATTTTTGCAAGCACTTTAACGTGAATGCGCTCTTGTCCGAGGACGCGGTTCGCCCCCAGCTTTTGAGCAAACTCGTCGATCGAACACGGCGGCGAAAACAGGAGCAAGCTGAAATACTTGACAAAATCCGACTCGCGGGACGTCTCAAGCGGCGACTTCCCTTCTGGCGCTTCTTCAACCGTCTACCGATATTGTCGTATCAGGACGAGTGGACCGAGCACGGGGCTACAACACACACCTCATGGCCGTCGGCATGCGTGACCAAGACCCGCTTGATGGTCGAATTCGCGCACTGCCCTTCTCCGCCGCCAATGTGCCACGCATTTCGCATCATCAGCTCAAAGTAGCTGTCTGTGTCGATCGATGCGCTGACATTCTACGTGCCACGCAACGTGACCGCTGGCCCAACTCGTACACGCACCCGGTAGTAGTTGACGAATTCGTCGTACTCGACAACGCCATCGTGGTCGATCGTGTCCCATTGCCCGAGAAACTCTGCCAGGATCTGGTCCTTGGTCTTCTTGCCCTGAAGCATGTCCGGGTGCTTGGTCACGTCGTAAAGCGCGCACAGGTCTTGAATCGTGACGTGGCCATCGCCGGACGTGTCGAGTTTGCGGAATGCCATGTCGATGAACTGCATCCTGGACGCGCTGATGTCGCCCCGCAGGGCGACGAGAAACTCGTCAAACGAGATCAAGCCGTCGCCATCCACATCGAACGCGTGCATGAGCACGTCCAAGTCCGCGTCGGAGCAGTCGACGCCATAGTCGCGCAATCCAAACCGAAGCTCGTCGCGACTAAGCCGCTTGTCGCCAGAATCGTCCATGATCCGCATGATGCGACTCAAGCCCTGAATGCCATGGCTCCCTCCGCGCGCAAGGATGGCGCTCTTGACGCGGCCGACGACATCCCTGCGGCACTGGCCACTTAGCGTTGTTGCACCAACTGCGTGGTGCATGGAGAAGCTTACATTGGATGATTGGACATTGCGCAACTAGACCAAACCGAATGATCTCGACATCATGGAAGAAGGCAGGTTTGCAATACCTTTCGTCATGTGTATCGATCGCATGCGCGACGTGCGTGGATTTGGTGCTTCTCGACGTAACTGGCCGGTGGCGCGCGCTCAATGTGGCTGCAGTCCTTGATCGTCCCGTGGATTGGTTGGATGGATTCGACTGGGCTGTGCGACTTGATGCCGGTCTTGCGTCCTTGGTTGTGGTTCCGCGCGCCTTCCCGATCGAGCTCGGTGCGCACGACTTGCTCGCCAAGGAGCCGCTCTGCGATCGACCCGAATGCAGCAAGTGGCTGTCTTGGTTTTTCCCATGGTCGTGGAAATGGAAAGATGCCCGACCACGAGCGACCACCCAATCCCCCACAGGGAAACAGCCCAAGCGAATCGTTTTGCCTCGTGCTTCTCGAACGAGCCGAGCCAGCGTGGTAAAGAGCTGGCCGACGAAGCGTTCGATTTCGTCGCGGGTCGCATCGACGTCGGATGCAACGGCTGTCAAGCTCAACTTGGCGGCGGCAGTGAACCCTATCGCCACGTCAGGCGTGAATCCGTGTTTTCGTGTGTCCAGTACGGGAATCGAGTCGACGTGGGTCGTCGAGCGCTGCTGCTTGGACGAAACGCGGGTGGTGTACAAATACTGGTGCATGCGTCGTCGAGTCAAAGCCAAACACTCCAAATCGATCGACGCGAATGGCCTGCCCACTGCAGAAATGCCGCCACAGCACACCCGTCACAGCCTTCCACATCTTGAGACTTGCCACCACCGAAAACTCGCCATGCTCGATGGCCGCGGCTTCGATGATGTCGGCCGTCGAGATGTCCACGGAAGAGCGCATCGCGTGGAAAGGTGTCCCGTAACTGCTGTAACCGATGCCGCCCAACCGCATTCTTTCGACGTGACGCGCGTGATGCCACGTCATGCCACCCCATCCGTCACCAACCACGGCGGCCGCAGGACCAGCTCAACCACACAACGGCACTTGGCACACTCTTGTCCGCGGTTAAAGTTAAATCAGTACGGCTCGATGCTGGATCGACTAAAATATCCGTTGAAGTCTAGCAAGAGAACGAGGGCGCGGGCGTCCGTGTTGGCCAAGACGGCACCAAAGTGCTGCATCGTGGTGGCGAATTCCGCCTCGAGCAGTGCTGAATCCATGCGGGGGTCGTCAACGGTCCGCGTAAACTCCCACCCGAGCGCCACGATGTGGTTGAGGGCGTTCATGACCGTGGACGAGTACACGTAGCACTTTTTAGCGACTTCGGCCACGAACGCGTCGTGCGCACGCTTGACAATGTCAAAATCCGATCGGTTGTCGCACTCGGCGACGCACTGGTCAAAGTCGGCGTCGATCACGCCCATCTGAAAGTACAGAAACACGTTGGACAGGGCAAACGCGAGGTGGTGGCGCAGGACGCACGTCTTGGTGGATCGGCTCGACTGGTGCTTCCACGCCGTGTTGAGGGCAAAGATCACGCGCTTGAGTCGAAAGAGTAATTGAAACACGTGGCTGTACGTGGTCAATGTCGGAGGCGTCAGCAGCAGTGGCAAGGGCCACGGAATGTCCATGTCAAGACTGACGTACGCCCACGGATCGTCCGATTCCCCCTGCGGTGGCCTCTTGTCGCACGACCACGAGAGCACCGTGACGCCTGGCTGGAGTACCAGCCCGACAAACATCCCGCCTTGTTGACGCGCCAGGCCATCGACGTGCTTCAAGACATTCATGGGCGTATGCTCAAAGCAGATGGACCCGTTGACCAGGACACGCCATCCTGCAGTGGTGACAGGAACGTTTTTTTCCCCTACTACATCCGCCGAGTATTCGACGTGGAAGGTGGCGTCACTTGCAAATGGCAGCGTCGCCGTGGCTTCGTGCACGAGTTGGCTCGCGTCGGTGGAGATGATGTAGAGGCGCGTTGTGAGTCGGCAACTGGAATCTTGAAAGGTATGGAACTGGCACTGAAGCCGCAGACTTGCCGATGTCGGGGGCAGTCCTCCACGTGGACGGTCGGATCGAGTCCACTCTGGAACGACGTGAACTCCGTTGGACTGCAACACAAGCGACAGTTCCGTCGGCGCACTCGGCATGTCGACACTAAAACTCGACCGAAACGAGCGCGAGATGTACTGAATGTGGTGGAACCAGCACGTCAACCAAGACTCCGACGGCGCGAGACCACGGGCGTCCGCGCTGCGTACACCATGCACCACCAAGCCAGGCGGGACAACTGCAGCACTCATGTTCTCCGGCTCGCCAACACGTTGGAACGTGTATGAAAACTCTTGCAACGGGACCTACACATTGTCGACGGTGACGTCGTCCTAGCGATATGCGCCGACGCACCCGCAGCGAGATGGAGCCCACCGAGTCGAACTGAAACTCACGCAGGGACGTGGCCCAGATCCCATGGTTCAAATCCTGCTCGGATCGAATAGTCGGGGGGCCCTTGGAAAAGACGTCGACCGACGCCCGTTCGACGACAGCGTGAAACAAGTCGCCTTCCCCAAGCAAGTAAAACGACTTGACAAGCTTCAACCACTTGACAAACTGCCCTTGCACGACGACACGTGTCCCCAGAGCAGTTGCGACAATGCCTCGGAGCCTTGCCAACGAATCTTGTACCACATGCGTGGCCCACGTGCCGCGACGCGCCAATTCGTGGAGGCAGTTGCAGATCTCTTTGTGATGCGACGACGACGCCCCGACGATTTTCATCGCGTTTCCGACGAACAAGACATCTTCAGCGATCGCACTGGGAAAGTACCGCAGCGGCACCCGCCCTAGATCGACTGTGTATTCGGTGGGCGACGACTGCGTGATGAAGAATTCGCCGAACGGATCCACAACTTGCGCTGCCGTCATCCACGACATCATCTGACGGTACAGCACGCGATGCGCGTTGCACAGGAATACCCGAACGCATGCTTGGATGCGCGGGTACCCGCAGTGATCGTGCGACTGCAAGAGCTCCAATATACCTTTCCCGCGCAGATTTTTGCGCTCAATCTGGTCCACTAATCGACACAGAAACGGAAAAAGCTCGATTTCACCGTGGAGATCCACCAACAGCCTTGTAAACGGAAACAAGTTGCTCGTGTTTTGACTTGTCTTGGCCAAGACGTCGCGCTCCAAGTCCGCCACGTGCTGCTCGTATGCAGCGAGGCTGGTGGACAACGACTCACGAAACGAATGCAAGTAGAGGCTGGAGCGGATGTACTCACTCCCGTCTCCATCGCTCTTGTCCTGGAATGGTGGAAGTTGAGCGAATCTGGACAGGCGGCGGTAGCAGTACCCAACGTGCAAGACGGGGCGTAGCATCTGCTGATCGCCTTCAGACAGCAGCGACGGTGTGACCTCCTCATCAAAGACGAAGGTTTTCACATTTTCCTGCTGTGGGTTCGTCCTTTCCACGACGACTTCGCCGCTGACGCCGAGGAGCGCGAAGAACAGCTCATGATGCATCTGTTTGGTCCCACGAAGCAAACCACGAGGGATATCCGGATAATGTGTGGTATTCGGATGCGCGTTCACCCGGATATCGGGAGATATTATACGGAAGGTGCTAATGCCCATTCCGCGAGAACGAACGCCGGATGAACAGAAGCGCGACCAAGACCACATGCTGGTACGAAATCCTGGGCCTTCCTCAGCTCGCGGACACCGACGCGGTGAAGAAAGCGTTCCGCCAGATGTCGTTGAAGCATCATCCAGACAAGGGCGGTGATGGTAAGGCTGCTGCATGAGAGATGTGAAGAGTCCGTGACCACACAGTGTGTATGTAGTCGACAAGTTCCATGAACTCCAGCAAGCTAGTCAGTTCCTCTTGGACCCGGTCCAAAAGAAAGAGTACGATGCAAAGATTTCTCAAGTGACGATGCAAGAAATTCAACGAAAGCAGCGAGAAGAACGGATGGGGGCAGAGCGAAAGCGAATGGCAGACGAGCTGCTTCGACGGGAAAACGTAGAACCCAAGCGCCCCAAGCACGTGATCGACGATCTGAAAGCGAAAGCCAGGAGACATGTGGAAGAAATGCAAGCTAAACGGGCACAAGTCGCCCAGGATCGCGCTAATTTCTTGGGAAAGAACCTCAAGAGCGGTAAGACTTCGTCGGTACTGTAGCCACTTAACGATCTGGTTCGCTAGGAGACATCAGGCAGCGAACAATTCGAGTGTCGTGGAGCAACAGCAAGGGTTCGCACTCGGACCAGACGCTCGTGGATGCCTTTCGAACGTACGGCGAGATTGAACTGGTCAAAATGAAGTCGGCCGATTCCGCGCGCATCATCTTCGTCAATGCGCTGTCGGCGGTACCATCTCTTCGACACGTGAATTCCCAACTGACGTGGATGATGTGTGTAGACCCAAGCTGCCCGTATTGAAGGCCACAACACCGACACATGGAAGAAAGTTACACTGGTGGGCCACGCAGTCCACGAGCAGCCCAAAGTCGCGCCCCATCATCATCGTCATCACTCAGAACCGGACAAGGCACAGCTGGAACTGCACCCTGTATCACAAGACGAGCTTGCTCAATTCGAGAAGGTCGTCCTGGCGCACTTGGAGACATTGGCAAAGCAAGTCGCAACATAACAGGACATCGATCCGTATAAGAAATGCTGGCCGTTTTCAAGGCGACAAACGCCAGTATTAACAAATGAACGCCAGCTAGACGACAACACTGGGATGGGCCGGCTGCCGCGACGATCGCCCAGAGCCTCCCGCGGCATTGGAGAAGGCCAAGTTGGAGATCGTTGATAGAAAGCTCGCCCCCGCCGACGAGTTCAGTGCTTCTAGCGCGCCGGCGGTCATCATCGAGTGCATCTTCGACTTGGCGTCTGCAGCACACTCCATGATGGACATACAGGAAGGGAAGAGGAGCATATTACCTTTGCTGCATTTGGTGTACCCCACCACGTTCGCACCGCTAAGCGTGAGCGCCACGATGGCAATGAGCGCCCATTCCACGTTGAGCTTGAGCACAGCGACGAGGAGGAACAAGGCCCACGCGACCGGTGCACCATACAGAGCTGTCCAGAAGATTTTGGCGTCGAGGGGATCGATCTCAGACATGTCTTCCAACGACTCAAACACCCAGTCGTTCGATCCGTCCTCGTTGATGCGATTCCACCATCGAAGCCCGACCAGCAGCCGACCCGACACGTTCTGCATCGGGATCGGTTCATTCCTTGAACAGAATACGATGGAGAGCACGTACTTTCACGGTCCAAAAGTCGAACGCCAGCAGCAGTACACAGATGACAAAGATGAAAACAAAGCTGTTCGAGACGAACCCGCCTAAAATGTACACGCCAATCGCGAGGAATTTGAAAAACAGATGAAATGCCGCTGCCACGGGATGCTTGGCTTTGCGCACAGACTCGGTTACCCCTGACAACCTACGTAATGGGGCTGAGTGGTCAATCGTCCTAGAAGAAGGGACCTACAAGCCAGCGGTTGCAGGCGTCGCCCGTGGCGAGTTTTCCACAGAAGACGAGGCTGTGGTGGTCCTCGAGCGAGGAGACGTCACTGGAGAGTCTTGCGGCTCGGCAGGAACGTCGATGAACTCAAGTTGCTTGCCCTTGTCTCCCATCGTTCAAGCCAACGGACAATCCCTGCGGCACTTCCTCAAGTGCTTTATACGACGACTGATGTGGAATGTTAATCTACCGGATAAAAAGATTATCCGGAATTTCGGACAAGACAAACTTCGATGTTTTGTCGCATGAATGTGCACCCATTCAAGCTCACAGCTCTATGGCGATGCAGCTCGCGATCTACCTCGGAGCCTTCATCCCACGCATCTCTGGGTATCAGCCTCTTGTGCTTCTGTTTACAGCACGTGCGCTAACACTTGGGTGCTCGAAAATTATACTTTCCCTGCCGCGAATGATGGTAGTGTTCATTTATATCATTTACTTTGGTCATTCAGAAAAATGATATTTTACATTGTTGTGGTTTATACTTGGTAAACGTATGGAATTTGTCAAGGCGGAATTGCGTGCGAATGTGCACGATGCTGCAACGCTGTAATAAATGAATCAACGCCGTGAAAGATCGCAACTTATCCGGATGGTCCTCCTGCCATTTGTAAGGGAACCCACTTCGCATCCTGATCCGATCGGAGAATTCCCCGCCCCTCCAAGGATGGCTCGAGATTAGTACGCGCCACTTGGGCGCAGTCGATTAGGAACCACGATGGGCTAACCTGTCTCCGTGTTGTAGTGACCATTTGTTCAAGCTGGTGTTGATTGGCGACTCGGGCGTCGGCAAGTCGTGCCTGCTGTTGCGGTTCGCCGACGACGCGTTCACAGAGAGCTACATCACGACGATTGGCGTCGACTTTGTACGTTCACGTCATTGTCTTGCATGTTTCTGGGCGTATGACACTGATTTGATAGCGTTTCCGCACGGTGAAAATCGACAAAAAGACTGTCAAGCTACAAATCGTACGTCGTTGGGACGGAAATGTGCTGTTGTCCTCATCGCGCTGCCTCCTTCTAGTGGGACACAGCAGGCCAAGAACGATTCCGCACAATTACTAGTGCGTACTACCGCGGCGCGGATGGAATCATCATGGTCTACGATGTGACGAGTCAGGTAAGGTCGTGGTGTTGAACGGATCTCGACTGCCTTGTCTGCCTGGCAGGAATCATTCGATCACGTAAATGACTGGCTCAACGAAGTAAATCGATATGCGAGCGAGGGAACGTGTAAGTTATTGGTCGGGAACAAGAGCGACATGAGCACGAAGAAGGTCGTGTCGTTTGAAAGTGCCAAGGCATTCGCAGACAGCCTTGCGATCCCATTCTTGGAGACGAGTGCGAAGAATGCGCAAAACGTCGAGGAGGCTTTCCTCACCATGGCGTCGGAACTCATCACGATTCGGGAAATGGTCGGGAGCAGCACCAAAACTCACGGCACGACGGTACGCGACGTCCCTGTGCGATCGAACGTGACGTCGTGTGTGTGTAGCTCACGAACGACGCGACAAAGCCGTCCGGGTCCAACTCGTGCTGCAATTAGGTGGCGCGAGGCGACGGCTCTTTGGCCTCGTCCTTCTTTCTATTGTATACCCGATCGATTCGTGCTCTTCAATATGGTCTTGCGACTCTCTCACAGGTTGTGCCCGCCGTTCTTCTGCTTCGATGAGCAGGAACGCGTGGTGGCCATACATCCAGCGCATACTTCTCACGACGTTGTGGCATTCATGAATGGCCATCCAGACTCGTCGCTCGACCGAGTTCATGCAGTGCTACAGGATTGCGTTGGTTCGTCGAGATGCTGGGGCTCTGCATCGTCCGATTGGCATAGAGACGTAGCCGAAGAGGTCGTGCATCCTTGGCGCAGCCACGTTGGGACAGATTCGACGCACCAACACGTTGCGCATGAAAGCATCCCTCGCCCTTCAAAATCGACGCAAGTGGCATGCGTCACCGCACACCACCTGGCATGGCCGAATCTTAAACCCACACGCATGCACAAAGGTCATTTGCACTCCCACATGCGGCACCATCTCGAGCTTGTTTCAAGTCCCAACGCCGGAATCATTCACCGATTGAATAAGAATCGATCGCTTGGGATACGCACGCCTGGCCAGACATCGTGTCATGCGCAGTGTCACGCTTCTTGTTATGGTCATAACGCAGCAGCAGCTTCCTTGGCACGTTGGCTCCATGGGCGCTGCCGCCGCTCGTCGTGGGGGCGCCATGCCATCGGGAGGTTATCCGGACAATTGCAAACTACTTTATCCGGACATGCATCAAATGCTGCAGGATGGACGCAATCGTTCTCAAGCTCGGCCATCCGCTGGAAGAGGTCCGCGTGAGGTCGCTGCGAAGCATCCACACCAAAATCTCCACGGGGCTGTGGCCGCATGCGCACTGCCTTCCGGAGAAGATCCAGCAGTATCTGCTTGACCTGCTTCCACCCCTGGCGACCGACTACACACAAGCGCAGGAAATCCTGTCCCAGCTCCAATCTGTTAACAGGACACCCCAACATCCTCCGGCGGAACCTGCCATCCACTCCCCGCGTGTGTTTTCACCTTCTTTTACTTCGAACTCCAGGCCTAGCGATGCCAAGCCAGACGATGGGGCAAAAGTCCCACATATCCCGCCAGGAGTCCACGCCGGTTGGACCTACTCTCACGTCGACTTGGCCGACGCAGACGACCAGATGCTGTTTGAGTTCGAAGTCAAGCTCAAGATGCACGGCGGCACGCAGGAAGGCCTTCGTCTGTTCATGGAATTCGGCGAGACTCTGCTGCGGGACTTTCCCGCGGAAGTGTTTCTTCAGCGACCTGCCATTCTCCAGTTCATCATGCATCTGTTGCAGGTACCCTTGATCGAGCTTACACAACCACCCGCGTCTGGCTTTGGCGAAGCTTTGTTTGGGTACAAAAAGCTTCGTCGCCACGACGAAACCGCGCTCTTCTTCGTCCTGCTCGACCTGCTTCAAAGTCTTGTGGACGGCCTCGCCACGAGCTTTCAGTTGCACGTAGATGCAACTTACCACACTCACGTTTGCGAGCCTCCAACGCCGTCTCACTCGACTCCCCATCGCTCCATCCATGCGGGTAGTCGCAATCCTCCTTCCTATCCCTGCGCTGTCCCTTCCCCAGACGGTCTACGTGGCGACTCTTGGTCGTACAGCGGAGCGATGTGCTACATATTCACGGTGCTGGCTTCGCTAATGGCCCGCCCGTCGCTCCCTCGACTGCGCATTTTGTCCGTCATGCATTCTCTGGTGTCGTCGTTGCATGACGTGTCTGCCACCACGATCGAACCATTCGAATCCCAGCGCCTCGCAGCGTGCTTCTCCTCGATTTCGGATGCGCTGGACGTAATGGCAGGTCCTCGCGAGGACGGGTCCATGGATAACGTCGCCACGTTCTACACGTGGCGCCTGTTGCTCCGCATGCTGGCCGCCATGGGCTGTCCTTCGTCCGCCGTGATTTCACTCTTGCCTCCTCGAATCGTGCACGCCCTCGAAACTCTCGTCCTGGACCAAGCGCTGTTTGAAGTCGACCCGTCCATCCGCCACCACGTGCTACCGATTGCAATCCTTGCCAAGCCGGCGATCTCCGACTTGCTGGAACACCACATCCACGTGACAAATGTGATCAAGAATTGGCAGTCGTTTGTGGAAGCTGTCGACGCCGCGATCGACGGGACAGATCCCGCGCCGACGTTGCCCCAGGACGCGCTGACGCTGTTGAGTGTCTTGGACCATATTCCTCGACTGGAAGACCGAGACGAGGTGGTAAACGCTGTGGCCAAGATATTGCCATCGATCACTCAAGACGACCAGGTTGTAGCGATCTTGGAGAAGCTTCTGCAATGGCCCACCACGATATCGTCCGCTTTCGACCACGTTGTAGCGTCTCTGAGTCGGCGGGACACACGAACCAATCTGTCCGCCGTTGTGTTGTGCCTTTGCCGACGGCTCGTCGCCGCGCCGCCCGTGGACGCGCTGTGGCAATTGCTTCATCTCGTCTTGCATGACGCAGGCCACGATGCCATACCTTTTCTACAACATTGGGCGTACGCCGATGTCCCGTTGTCTTCGGCGCATCGCCAGATGCAACCCGCGTTGGCCGCGCGCTTGATCGACCTGCAGCATGCTGGGTTTACCGACACCGTGCTCGCCATCGCGAGATGTTTACTTCACACGTCCGAGTTTGTCCGGCGATCGGCAGCGGTGGGGTTGGTGTCGGCGCTCGTCGACGACGACTCGTTTGTCGATTCACGGAATTGGATGGTCCAGAACGACTTTCATCCGGGTGACCCGTTCGACGCCTTGGCGCATTCCCTGCGCGATCATGTGCTGTCGCACCCGCTTCCGCAACCACCCACTCCTCGACGACCCTCCGCTCGAATCACGAGTGTCATTACGAGTGTCCAAAAGTTCGTTGCGATCTTGACCTCCCCTTCCCTCGAGTGGAATATCAAAGAGTCAGTGCTCCATCAAGTCATTCAAGTGGTGCGGCTGCTCGATGCTGACACGGCCGCCGCCCTCGCCACGTCGGGCGAACTCTCCAACGTCCTCCAGGCCGTCGTGCCCTTTCTGTCTCACCCCGACACCAAGTTCCACCTCTTGCCCCTCGTCCTCCTCCGCGACCTCGTGATGGCTTGCCCAGACGCTCGGCAGTTTGCGCGATCTTCCACCGTGCTCCACGTTGTGCTTCCATTTGTGTTCTCGTCCAACATGGATGTTCGTGCGGGCGCATATCTCGTCGTGCTCTTTCTCACGTGCGCGTCAGAGGTATGGGGCGACTCTCCAGTCTCGAAACAGCTCCAGGTCCCATCCATGATCACGTCTTCGTTTGGAATCCACTCGGCAATGTGGGCAAGCTGGGGCATTTCAACCTATAACCTGTCGACGAATTCGCTCGAATCGCCAGAAGCTCGAGACGCGACAAGCAACGATGGCCCTGGCACCGTCCTCTCGCAGCCGCCCCTCGCGTTTATCACAGACGCTATTCACGCCTTGAACGGTGCCGGGTCCCACCGCGACTACCTCAACAAGATGTATCCATTGGACTGTATGGCGCGGCTGGATGCGACCTTGACTGGGTCGGCCATTTCGTCGCAGCTGCAGTCCAAGTCGACCTTTCTTCGCATTTTGCACACGACCCCGAGCAGCTGGCGGGACGAAGCCGCGCTTGCGTCGCTCTTTCACGTGCTTCAACACTTGGTGCCGATCCTGGACGTGTCGGACCTGCTGTACATTCTCGTAGCGATCAAGACGAATGCCGTGCCGCTGCTACACCAAGCAAATCAATCGTACGGAGGAGCGTTGCACGTGAAGGTGCTCGCTCTGTTGGTAGCGATCGCCCGCCGGGACGACATGGTCGAGTTTGTCGCGGCCTTTCTGCTCGAAACGCAGCTCCATGAGACGCTTCGAACGGTGTACGTCCTCGGCGACGACAGTTCTGCTCAAGCCATCGCGCTTCGCTTGCTTTACCGCGTCCTCGTCCATTCTCGGTCGTGCTTGGACTCGTGGAATACCGACCAACTCGCGCCGACGCTTGTCCAACTGGTTGGCGAATACCACCCGAGCGACTCGTTCATTCGCAAAGACGCCATGGCATGGGCACTTTCGTGCCTTGTGGCCATCGCGGCGCACACCCCGTGGACGACGCATTCCACAACAAATCGGTTCATGTTCGATCGAGATTCGCGACTACGGGCCATGGGGTATGCCCTGCTGCCACCCACCGACTCGACATACGTCGAACTGGCCCAAGATACCGTCGTCGACATGACAGAGTGTTCCAAAGTTCGTGTGCAGGCGGCGCAGTACGTGCTGCGGTCGCTCGACTCGTTGGACGTGCGATACTTGACCAAACTGATCCACGTCGTCGAAAACACCCCCGTGATATCGTCGGAAGTCCTGTTTGCCGTCGTGAGTCTCGTTCAGCAACGCCACCGCGACCTCCTTCCTTTGAACGCACTCGACAAGGTACCCCCACGCCGACCGACGGGAATATCGACCCCTTGTGCAACGTAGCTCGCGTCCGTCGCGTACCACCACGAAGCGTACAAGCGGTTAAGTCGAGCCGTGATGGGCATGTCCATCTCGGACGCGAGCCCCGCGACGTCGTTTTTCAAGGTATTCGCGTCTCTTTCAACGATAACGGTGGGTGTTGTGGGGCTTCTGAGCCACACGTCGTAGGCGACGTGGGCCACCGTGCACCGACCGACCGCCATCGAGTGCATCCGCGTCGTTCTGTCGGAGGTCTCCTCCAGGGATGGTTTTGGATTCCTGCCCCGCCTCAACGAAATCTTCTCACTTACGTGCGACGACTCCCGTCCGTACGTGCAATTGCTGGGGGTTGCCGTGCGCTTTTTCAGCCGCATGATGGACCACACGACCGTCGACCAACACGAAGAATTGGCGCACAGGCTCGTGGCGAAGCTCGTCGGTATGGTGCAGAGAGACGAGTCCGTCCTGTCCGCGTGCCACGTCATCTACCACGTACGTGCGTCCCCGAAATGCCATTCCGCTCGACTCATGGTAGCTAGTGTGCCAAGCATCCATCGTGGAAAACGCTGCTGCAGACTCCACCAGGCCAAGCTATCTCGAACACGCTGGTGCGGTGGGTTGTCGACAAGCCGCGGCATGTCCATCACGCCCAAGTCGCCACAGCCGTGCAAAGCGTGCTGGAATCGCACCCGACTTTCTTCATCGACGACGCTCTCAAACAGGGGCTTCTTGCCCATTGCTTGACGAAATTGACGGGGCATTTGGCGCTCACGGCCGACGAAACGTCGTTGCTGTGCCGCTTGATTCGCGCACAGGTCGGGTATCACGTCGAAGCCAAGCAACTCGCAAACGTACGTTTGGAATATACTCGGACGGATGCGTCAACGGCGCTGACTAGGACTTGCACCTGCCTGCTTTGTTCGCGTCCATGTGGCATCATATACAAGCATCGCCCCGTGTCGTTCAAGCCTGGCTCGAAGCTATCAACAACTACGTGTACCAGAGCCAGCCCGCCAAGCAGTCTATCGTCGGAAGCCCATGCGACAGCCAGTCCAGTTGCCTCCGACACCTGCTTCACCACGCAACGTCGCCAAAACCAACGCACGTGGAGCTCACGTTTGCAGTGCTCAAGTCCGTCGCGCTCAACGGGGAATGCGTCCTCGCCATGATCAAGTATGGGTACGTCGCCAAGCTCATGGGCATCCTGGCCACGTCGGTGTACAAGTACAAACAGACCAAACTTCGCGCAGACGCGCGTCCGATGCTGCTCCGCAGCGTGCTGGATGTAGTCGTAAACATATCGTTCTCGCCCGATGGCCGGACGGACGTGTGCCGATTTGCCCACCTTCAAGATTTGCTGACCGATTTGGTGGCGGCGCCTGCGTTGGTCGAGCCGACCGCGTTGTTGCTTCGCAACATTTCGTTCACGTCGATTGCCAAGGCGCAATTTCTGCACTGGAAACCCATCATGACGGCGTTGCGGACGTGGCTGCCCCACGACGATCCGTTCGTGTGCAACTTTGCCAGCACTGCCATTTGGTCGTTGGTGTACAACAATCAAAAAGCCACAACGAAAGCCATGGCCGAGTTCGACTGGTCCACGTGCCTCGCCAACGCTGCGGCGTCCCTCGAACGAGGTATGGTGCTGTCCTCGAACGACAATTGGGCGACTAACTGTATGCCAGCGCTGGCCGCGGCGCCCATGGAACCCACCGATCGCATGCTCCTCACCCAAGCCCAAGTCCACGTGGGCTACATCGCGCAGCTTCTTCAATGCAATGCCGGTGGGCCACAATCGACCCACGCGGACCAACTCGCCGTGCAGGTCGATACCAACTACATCCGTCGAGATCGTAGTCGAAAGCGCAGCTAGAATCTCTAACGTGTACACCCATGCTTGCGCACTGCTCCTATCTATAGCTGCCGTCAGAGTAAAATTAGCTCGGCGCCGACCGACCGAAACCAACGCACATCTCGACTGCCGGTGCGCCTTGTAAGCTACCATAGCGCTTCCACGCGTCAAGTTTGATTCGTCCAGTGTGGCCAGCGACCACGAGGACTACACCGACAGTGCATCGTCCCCTTCCCACTCGATCGGCGGCATCCTCCAGCAGCCTAAGATGACGTCGAGACAGCAGCCGCCGCCGCCAAAGCCGAAACGCAACTACCAGCAGAGCCCGGACGACGAGCATGACTCGATCGAGTCGGACGATGCGTATGCCGCCCCCGTCCTACCCCGCCGAGGGCGCAGCACCCGCGCGGCATCGCAGTCGCCTCCGTCATCGCCGCAAGCGTCACGCGGCATGGCCGTCGCCCCGCTCAAGAGCGTAGAAGGCGAAGCCGAGACGACGATCGGGGCGGCCGTCAAGATGAAGGGCGAGCTCTCGTTCGAGCGGCTGCTGCGCATCGAAGGCGAGTTTGACGGCAAACTGGTGTCGAAAGGATCGCTCGTGATCGGTCAAAAGGGGCTGTTGACAGGCAACATCGACGGCATGAAGGAAGTCTTGATTGCTGGCGGACGCGTGCTCGGCAACATTACAGTCGACCGCCTCGTGCTCCGCGACAAGGGGCAGATCTTCGGCAACGTGACGGCCAAGAGCGTTCGGATAGACCCCGAGTGCATTGTGATGGGCGCGCTCAACGTCAACCCGCACGCTCCTCAGCGCATCAATTTGAAAGGCGAGCCCGTCGTGGAAGAGCCCAAGCCCGCCGCCCCGCCGACTCCGGCAACGCCTCAACCCCCCGCCTAGACGCATGCTCGTCGCAGCCACCCGGGACGACGACGGGTGCATGTACCATAGAGCGATTCAAAAACACGGCATCTACGCATCATTCGTCGTTCATGAAGCCGCTTCGTGTGCCACAGAGAGCGATGGCGGAGGCATACGCTTAAGAGCGATGACGACATGCAAAAGCCACTCGCGATGTATCGTAACGCAGCAAGGACGCAGTGCCACTAGCATATATGTCGTGCAGGCGCGTTCGCAGTGCAGATGGGCAAAGGGGACGCCGGTAGAAAGCATCGCAATGACACAAAACTCGATTGCTTCAACTTTGCGAATGCACGGAAAAAGGCCCAGCTAGATGGACGGGATGCCGGCCGCGCGCAGCTTGGCTTCGAGCGTCTGGAACTCGGCCTCGTTGACAGCTTTCACGTCTTGGTCGTCAACAACCTCTTCGATGCCGCGGACCTCAGGGATGTAGTGCATCAGCATGTTCTCGACGCCGTTCTTGAGGGTGACGGACGAGCTTGGACAACCCGCGCATGACCCGGCCAACTGAAGCTTGACGATCCCGCGGTCCTCGTCGAACCCACTGCAGTCACACAGATACATCGTTACGATTTCGAGCCCAACTTGCATCAACATTCGAGGGCTCCGCACCGAAAATAGATGTCGCCACCGTCATCTTGAACGGCTGGACGGATGCGCGTCTCCAGGAGTTCCTTGATCATGGCCACCACTTCGTCGTCGGTGTCGAGAATCGTCGTGTCCTAGTAGTACCGCCACCACGCGATGAGAGGCGATGGAAGAAGATGACGACGGGTCGAACCGTAATAACTTCTTCGTCTGTCATGATGGGCTTGCCCGACGCATAAAAGTCCATGATCGTTCCAAAGATTTGACCGCGGAGCACCTGCACAAGCGCATTGTCAGCGGAGAATAACATGGCCGCGCGGTTGGTCGTACATCCCAGTCGATGTCGTCGTCCTTCTTCGTCACAGAGATAAAGTCCTTGCCAAAGAACACGCGAACGACACCGTCGATCGTAAACAAGTCCTTGGCCAGCATCGACCGTCGGAGTTCGGGACCTTTGGGTGTGAAATCTACACCGGTCGAGAAGCGTTCGTCCAAAACTGGGCGCCCTGGGAGGAACTTGAGACTCTGAGGATTGGGTGTGGTCTCCGTCTGAATGAACATGTTGCGCACCGGCACTACTCCACCAACATCCCTTACCAAACACATCGGTGTACATGGTTAAGGTACCTGCAAACATGGCCGGCCGTCGATAAGTGGTCTTTTGTGCCATCGTCGATCGCACCAACGGCGAGGACAAGAACGATGGCACGTGGATGGATCGCGCAGAAGGAGCACCCGACAAAGTGATGTCCATGGAGTTGGCCACGGCCACGAAGGGTCCGCGAAGCTTGGCGGCTTGAGCATGGCGCATTGCAATGCGCGACGAACGGTGCAGCATGGCGTTTATGGCGAAAGTGCACCAGCGAATGCTACTGGTACGGATATTCCGTCCGGATACGACATGTTCCCGGATATTATCCGGAAACATGGCGTATCATGGCGATCTTCGGTCGGTTGCATTTCCGGTCTCATGTGGAAGGGCTTGTTCAAGCCGCGGCCGGCGAAGGCCACGCTACCGTCCATCAACCAAACGGAAGAGCATGCGACAGAAGCTGCGGAGACACCTGTGGACGAGAAGAGGATGGAAGATTCGCATGACGAGGCAGCCCCTGACAACGACGCCATGTATGTGCTCGCCAACTTCACAGGCCTCTTGATTGTCCAAGGTGCAACCGAAAAGCGGCAGATTCGATATGTGATGGAGGTCGTATGCCCGACCACCCGACACAAATTCGAGTGCGTGAAGCGGTTCAATCAGTTCAGCGACCTTCGCCAGCGCTCGCTCGACGTTCTCCACCAATGCCGAAGCAAGAGGTGCCCGAAGTGCACCTCTGTTGCTGCCACCATCCAAGCACAACCATTTCCAGGTCGACGCCTCTTCACGACACTACAACACGTCAGAGAACGAGCATTGCCTTTGGAAGCGTTCTTGCAGTGTGTTCTAGACAACGCCTTGAATTGGAACGGATGCAAGCGATCAAAACACGCATTCAACCAGGTCGCAAGTCAGTTTGTGGGGGCACCTGTCGACGGCATGTACTTAAGCAGCGACAGACCGTCATTGGACTTTCGCAAGTCCATCCGACATCTCATGGTGGAACGTCCAGTCTCAATTGGCGATGCCGTAGCTGACACGAGGGAGGAGAATGCTTCACCAACGACAAGGTGCCCGAGCCTTCCTCAAGACAGCTTTGAGGAGGAAGAGCACAAGGAGAATGAAGACGAAGCTCATCCAAGCATCCAGCCACTCGAGCATGTTGCTGTTCCCGAGGTTTCAACCACCCCCGCTCCTCCAGCTACTTGCAAGGATGGACCCTCGTCCGAGCTTCCAACCTCATCTGACCAATCTTTGACCCATCCCACGACGGTCGTGGCCGCTAACGTCGTCGACGAACGCGTAGAGTAACCTTAATGCATACCGTCTTACCCATCGCGGCCCCATGCACCGTCGTCTGGATCGCGCTCGTCTGTGCGGCGGCCTTCTCCCATCGAAATTGGCGCCAGTTCAATGCCAGGTGCAAGCGAAATTCGTCGACTGGATGTTGGGAGGATTATCCGGATGCCAACTGCTTATGTACACATACTACTGTACTAGTAGTAGTTCGACCTTGAATATATATTTGTGATGCCGATATTGCAGAACTTGAAAACATTATATTGTTATAATATATACAAAGTCTAGCCATAAATATATCTGATGGAATTTTGATGTTCATCTTGCGGAAGTCATACAGTACCAGTAGCTGTATTGGTAAAAGCACAAGAACAAGTATATCAATATATATAACGTTATCATGAACTTCAAATATATTTTTTACATCGGACAGTTTCCGCCTCCACGTGGAGCATTCGAGCGAAAATGCCAATTCTGACGTTCATCGCGCGCGTGTCCGATGGGATGCTCCTGGTACGTTCCCATGCCGTAGAAGCACGCTATTCGCATCGACGCGATGCGGAAAACCTCATGTGTGCACAGGTTGCGTCCATGGAGTCCGCGGGAGATTACAACGACAACCTGGACACGTACAAGCAACAGGTGAGTCTGCCGTGGATCGCACCAGGCTCACATGAAGCTGGACAGGGCAAGCAAATCATGAAGAAACTCAACCAACGCTCGCCTGGCAAATGCAGCATTGATTCTGGCGCGTATGCTTTTCAGTACGTCGGGAGAGGATGCGATTCCTTTGAGTCGCACGATGGCTGACCGTGTCCTATCTCACGCAGCTACCTCATTGAAGATGGCGTGTGCTACCTGACGCTCTCTGACAAGAACTACCCAAAGCGTTTGGTGTTCCTGTATTTGGAGGATATTCACGCTGGTTTCATCGACGAACTCCGTCGCGACCATGGAGACAAGTTCGTTTGTCAATTCTGTCCTTCCTGTTCATACGCCGATCATGTAGCTGGCGCGATACCGTCACGACCGTCGCGCGGCCGTACGCGTTCATCAAATTCGGTTCGATCCAACTTCACCGGTCCCCGTCATTCTCATGCCTTCGTAGACAAGTACATTCAGAAGAAGCGGAAGGAGTACACGGACCCCAGCTCGTCCCAAAACATGTCGAAGCTCAACAACGATCTGGCAGACATCCACAACGTCATGCGCCAGAACATCCAGGAAGTGCTCAATCGTGGCGAAGCTATCGACCGTACGTGATCGACTTGTCATCGCTCTATCTCCATCGTGTTGTCGCAGGGGTGTCCCAGATATCGTCCAACATTGCGGATCGGTCGAAGGAGTTCAAGTGGGGCGCCAAGAAGCTCAGTTTGCAGGCCATGTACCAAAAGTATGGGCCGCTTGTCGCGATCGCGCTCTTTGTCGTGCTCGTGATATACTTCAAGTTCTTTTAAACGACACCAACATGCCCAAGCAATAATCGAGCGATGTGCCAACTCTTCACTGTCGCCAGTTTCCAGGGGACGATGTCGTCTCCGCCCCCTTTCCATCATGCTGGAGGGACACGCATGCCACGACTGCGAACAACCGATCGCGACATCGCCACACACATCATGGTCGGCCCAACTTCCGTTCAATTCGTTTTGGGGGTCTCCACGAGAAAGCTCGCGTCTATCGTTCACCTGTACGATGGAATGCATTCCAGCGCGTCCTGGCAACGTTAGGGATGGTTCTCAAGCCAGCACGGGTGGAAAGATGCGCTGGTTGATGGCATCTTGGACGATGGCGCGAACGTGGTCCACGCGGAGCTGTCGAGACGCGTCAGGAGAGGCTGTTTCGCGCACGGCTCCATGACGTACATGAGGGTAGTCGTACGTGAAGCCCGTGCCTTCGATCTTGGACCCATCCACATACAACTGGTTGTGGCACAGCAACTCGCGATCGATAAACGGCGACAGCGGCGTGTTGGTTACTCCATGCGCCTACGAGTCGCCATCACGCCGCGTCGGGGCGACAGGCCCTACATTGCACAGGTCGGACCACGGCTTCATGTGCTTCTCGTTCGAGTGGTTCACCACGTCATCCAGCCGCAGCTACGCATGACGCCAGTGAATACGTCGGCAAAAGCGACGTTCACCTTGGCCAAATTCGAGACAAGGACCCCCATGAACCCCGTCTCGACGTTGAACAGTTCGCTGACGAGTTGGTTAATCGTCCCTTGACCTACATGTCGACGGCATCACGACGCTGCCTCCGATCGACTGCCTCACTCGTATCGGACTTGTCGGCGACGTTGTACACTTCACTCGGCGTGCCCGCGATGGCCACGTGCCACAACGCCTTGCACACGTCGCGCACGTGGACCTGGTACCTCGTGAAGCAGCCAGGTCGATATGCTGCCTACCGTATTCACTCGCATTTCGGCATCCCACAGCAACTTCATCGTTTCGCCAAGTTGCGTGTACGAAGCAGCGCAGACGAGGCGTGGCATGAGGCCGCCGACGTCGCCAGGACCATACACCGTGACTGGACGCACGAAGACCACGTTCAGGCCGCCAAGACCGCGGAGCTCTTCCTCTGCCTAATGCAATTTGTCGAGATGCAAAACTGTTCGGTCGAGATTCTACCTGGAGTTTGTACTTGGCCTGGAGGGTCCACGGGTCGAGCTTTGCGTTCTCGGTAGCTGGCGCTTTCGTCTGCGACTTGTACACATATGCAGTTGACACTTCGACAAACATCTTTACATGCACTTCGAGCGCTTTCTTGGCTAAGTTGACAAGAGAAGGAGTCGCGTCGAGAGAGCACGGAGACTGTACCGCACTTCACCACCAAGTCGCGGCACTACCATTCATAGCATATGAGGCGACTTGAACGCGAGAGTCTTGGAAGAGGGGGTGAGGGCAGACATGAGGCAGGTATACCTTGGAGCTGTAGACGGACTCGGCTTGGCTGCACTTAGTTTCTCCAGCGAGGTTGAACACGTAGTCGTATGGCCCGGCCTCCACTTTGAACGCACGGTCGACGTGGCTATCTCGCGTCAAGTCAGCTTGCACGTATTCAACAATATCTGAAGCAAACGCAGCCTTGTGTTCGTCGCTGTCGTGCATGCACATTAGATCAGGTTTTCCCATGAACACACGTGCCTGAAATACGAGATCTCGGGCATCGACTTGTCCGCGACACGGATGTAGCTGCACAAATCATTGTCCACGCAGTACTTGACGAAGTTGCGGCCGATCATGCCGACGCCCCCCAACACGAGAATGCGGGGAAGCTCCGTCGTCATCTTCTTCGCACGACAGAAAATGGAATGCCATCATGAGAGTTCAATTAGACGGTACCCAAAAAACAAATTTCTGTAGGGGGTCTATGCAAAAATCCAAGGAGGGGGGGAAATTATATCGAATATCTCTCGCATAAAGGCATTCTCAAAGAAATCTAAGGCACAGACCAGCTTCAAGTCCCTCGTGCCGCACATGAAATATAACGCTATGTTTGGCTGTGTTGTGCTTGGTTGACTTGATATGATTCTGGACTTCAGGAGCATGTCAATGTTAACGACGTTGTGACTATAGGTGGGGCGGAAAGCAAGCAGCATGCAACTCGCTCAATTTCATGCACGAAAGGATTTTATATCTCAGGATTTTGAATTATGCGATGGCAAAAAATATTAGACCACTATGGCAATTATGAAGAAAAATATTAATGAGCCCCTCCAATTCATATTACTGCTTCGTTTTACCACCCTTGAGCTCCAAGACAAATACGCATAGCTTCTGCATAGAACTGTACAAGCTAGTCGATGTGGTCTTGACCGATATTGTCCAAGGCCTTCAAAATTGCGTTTTTGAGCTCATCCTTCTTTGAATATTGGGTCCTTGAACTGCACATAAACAGCACAGGTTTGCACGCCCCACAAACTTTCAATTGATTTCAGGTTCGGAGACTTCTACGGCCACTTCATGACGGGTAAATTTTGCTTGTGCAAGAAGACGTTGGTCTCCTTGGCGGCATGGATGGACGCGTTATCGTGCTGAAAGTTACAGTCGCACTCAAAGTTGTAATCCACATAACGTTAGGAAAACGAATTTTCTGACGACGTCTCCTTGTAGGCGCACTGTTCTGGTGCCCCTCCAAGATGGCCAGTTTAGTGTTTCCTTTGGCACTCAAAGCACCCCAGACCATAACACTTCTGCCACCACACTACCTTATCGAAGAAATTGCCTTCTCCTTGCTTAGATCGTACCATAAAAATTCAAGGTCATCAGGCTCTTCAGGATAGAACCTTTTTCGTCATTATAGAGGACCTGATGCCACCACTTGGTTATATCCCATGTTACTCTCTCACGGACTCACGCGGCGCGCTCAGTTTTGTGTAGCACACCGAGCATTGGCGAGGCAATGGCCTTGACAAACTGCAGGTGCTGGGCATTGGCAGTAGTTGGCGAGCGTGCTCAACAAGCTCTCTTGAGCTCATAAAGGTGTTAGATGTCGTTCTAAGGAGTTGACATACATTGTTGGGAGCAGTTTTTGGTGTTCATCCATGAAGTTTCTTCGTGGCATATGCCAAAGCGTTGCTTAAGATCAGTGCTATTGTAAGCGGGCACAGAGAAGGATGCGCTTTGCTTGGTAGAATGGAGAATGAATTGGTAACGTTAGTGTTAATCCTACCTAACGCTACACCTAAGCCACGCAAACCAATCGTAGTTGGTTAGAAAGTAATAACCGGATGTGTCCGGATAGTGTAACACGGTTACACCCTCCCATACTTTGGACCGCAGACTTCGCTGAGCGAAAAGGGTCGCTCAACTAGCAGAGAAGGTCATCCGTCGGGTATAGTCCAGTACGCACGAAACCGTTGGAAATTGATGTTTCTTCCGGCGTCATCCAAACGCGGCGCGCAATAGCAATCGCCTTGTGCTTGCTGATATTCGTCGAAATATCACCCCAACTGTCATCGGCAATTTCGCGGCGGATTGCTTGCTTGAACGGTCGAAAAACTGCGACATCCAATTGTTGGAACACGTGGGTCGAGTTGGCTGGCAAAAACTGCAGTAGAAAGCCCATCGACATTGCAGCTTCAAAGATGTAGTTCGAGTAGTGCGATGAACAGCCGTCTAGTACGAGGAGAATCGGTCGTGGTGTTGACGCTGGGATAGCTGAGTTCAGCATGGACAGCCACTTCCTGCAGAGATACGAGCTCGTCCATCCCTTCTCAGATGTTGTAACGGCTGCGCCAGGGATGCTCAGGTTGTCACAGACTTCAGTTGTCACGCGGGAACCAGGAAGCACAAACAGCGGTGGAACTTTGGTGCCATCTGCGCAGACACATGCCACAATCGTAACATGTGCTGATGCCGACGCCTCTTCTGCGTACACCTTGGCTGAGTTGCGATGCACAACCACCTTCCTTGACACCTTGTTTGGACTGAAGCTGGTCTCATCCATGTTGTACACGCGCGAGGGTTC